TGTATTTTATAATAGTTATTGCTAATACCAACTAATAATAATTCACACTAAATATAAATTATATAATTATAAACAATTGTTTCAAGTTATTTATATTAACATCAATATTATATTTTTCTTTTGTATCTCATTAAAAAATTTCTTTAAAAACAATTAGTAAATTTTTTTAATAGCATAATCAAACAACATTAGAAGCTTATAAACAATTATTTTTTTATTAGTAATAATAATCATAACAATAATAATAATAATAATCAAACTGTTATTATCTAATGATAATAAATAATTGTTCATAATAATAAAATCGTTAATTTATTTTTCCTAATGGAAGAATTATTTGAATATATTCATGGAAGAATTATTTGAATATATCAAACAATTGATTTTTATAAATGTAATATGTTCATTATTTAGAATTTTAATATAAAATTCTCAAATATTACTTACTAATATTTTACGTAATCTGTGCATGTGCACAGGATATCTACTAGTATATATAAAATAGGGATTATCACATCAGTAAATATTTACATATTCCACTCTTTTTTTTCTTTTTACACTAGTAGCTTCGCTTTTACTTAATATGCAAGCATACTAATGTTGAAATTAATTGTTACGCTTTTATCCGCTCATTTAATAATTCTAACTTTTATTCTACATATTTTTTAAATAGAACGATTACAAATTATTCTAACAAACCCTGTGGGTATAATACAAAAATAGAAAATAAAAATAAAACAATCATTCTTATAAATAACAATTTATTGTTGCATAAGAACGTGTTTAATTTTTTAAAAAAATGCATTCGTTTAAATAAAATTCATAGCCTCAAATAGTAGTAGCGTTTAATTTTTTAGAAAATGTATTCGTTTAAATAAAATTCATAGTGTCAAATAGTAGTAGTAAGGATAATAAATATATTTTAAATAAATATCATACCCGTTATGATTATATTTATATTCCTATATATATAACTACTAACAAAGAATTTATTGCAAAAATAAAATCAGCGCCTTTTATTCAACTAATTGTAAAAAGAAATTGTTACATTTTTCATTAATTAATTAAACTATATAATTTATAATTACATAATAACTAATAATAACTAAAGGATATAAGAAAGTTTATACATATAAAAAAAATATTTAGATTTTCTTTAAACTACTTATTTAAAATAATAATTATTTTTTAGCTCACTAACGACACGAAACAATTATATCTAGACGGTCCTCAGGGTTGAGGTTCCTCTCAGAAAAGAATCGACTGATTTCAGGCCACTTGGGGTTGCAACTGATAGTTATGAAGATATCAAGATAACCGGTACAATGACAAATGGTAATCGCATCCAACGATAAAGGGTGCACTTCAATTGGCAGCCCATAAAATTCTTATCTATCATTTATATTTTCTTTAATTAGTGTACAATTCGATTGATATGTTTTTGTTCTCCGAATTTTGAGATCAGCAGATACTCGATTAGTTATTACTAAGCTCAGCAACTGTGTATTCGAATGCAAAATATGAACCGGTGCCAGAGCTGGTGATAAGGTTCTTATTCCTAGGCTCAAAATCATACAATTAGATTTGAGGGTACCTTTCAAGGTTCTTTTTTAAAACATTTTTTTCAATGATTATGTTATGATTGTACTATTGTTTACAATTTTTTATTATTTTATTCTTTATCAAATAGCTTTCTGTGCAAATGCACAGGTTACAACTAGTTCAAATTTAAGTCAACTTATCCTTTAATTAAGGAAGAGAGGGATTTAATGGAATTTTATGCCTTAAATTCCTTCTATTCCCTTTTATTTTCAGAATCTTGTACCCAATTTTCTTCTCTCCATGCTCCAGACTCTGTCTTGAGGAAAAAGCAAAAACGAAATTCACCCCCTTTTTCTCATCTGAGAAAGGCAGACACAAATCGGCATCCATCTCGGGAATTTCGAGAAGCCGAGTATACAAAATGTTCAGGAATCAGTACGATACCGACGTGACGATGTGGTCGCCGGCGAGGCGGCTGTTCAAGTGGAGTACGCGATGGAGGCGGTGAAGAAGGGCTCCGCGGCGAATCAAATCGACATTCTTGGCCAAATTGTTGGGGATTTCGGACATGTGATTGTCGTTAGCCAGTGGATCAGGCGGCAGTTGCGATCGAACACCGATTGGACCTCCTTGAAGCTATTGCGTAGGTTTTTCCATGCTTCCAAGTCACAGGGCTCCTCGTCGTCTGCTTCTTCATCGTCGTCCGTATCCTCGTGTAAGATGCGAACGGCGGCGGCGGTGGTGGTTAGGGTTTGTGGAGTATTGTCCATAGTAGCCGGTTCATCAAGGAATAGGGCTTGGCTCAATTTTCATTTGGTTATTGGAAAATTGAAATGATCTATTGGAATAGGCGGCGAACATCAATGGATAGGCAGTTATGTATTAGTACCGGTAAATGTTGAGTATATAGACATTATATTTTCTGTATTATTTACATTTTATCAAATGACACGTATATGTTGAGTATATATATAATATATTTTCAGTTTATAGACATTTTTATGTTTTCAAAATATTCAAAATCTGATTTAAAACAAAACTAAACTGATTGTTGTTGTTTTTGTGTATATGTATAGTTTATATATATAGTTCATTCATCATATAATGAATGAAATCATCATATGTGACTTCACCCACAAAAATATAAAAAAAACATATATCTTAAATATACCAAAACAAAACGATACATAACATAAGATGGAGTATATGTTCAACATATGTTCTATATACTAGAAGATTTTTTTGTTAGGAAATATAAGTAAACATTAAGATGGAGTATATGTTCAACATATGTTCTGTATACTAGAAGATTTTTTTGTTAGGGAATATAAGTAACATGTTATAATATGTTTATAAACTATATATATACTTTTATGTTTAAAAA